TGTGCCTCATTTGCAAGCACTATCATTGCATCTGAGAGATACAGGGTGTTTGTGTGTGCAGGTAATTGCAAACCCGTACCTTAGCCTGTCAGCTATTAGGAAATGTCTGAGACACAGCCCAGGGTGGGCCTCTGGAGCAAGAATAAACTGCTTCTGTCCAACAACATGCGTACATCACTGTGTGTGCATCTGCTAGCCTAACCAAAGTAGTGCATCGTTTCTGTTTGTGGGTGAGTGATCACACAGGACACATGTGACTGCCTTTTTTTCAGTTGTGTTATAAAAGTTTAGATCTTGTAACAGGGGTAATACGCAGACACACCTAGACAAAGTTTTCACAAGGAAGTGAAAGCAGATATTCACATGTAGAGAAAGGAAGTGCACAGGATGTAAAACATTTAAATTATGTCTCCTACCACTGACTCTTTTCTCAGTTTCACAATTCAAAGAATTATATATGACACCAAAACCTTAAAAAAGGCCAAAGGTCAGCAGTCGTAAACAGAAGCACAGAGAGGAAGAGGTGGAGATAATAAAACAGTGTTTAATGTGGAATTAGCTATATATATATATATATATATATAGATATACTATTCACAATGATCCGCTGTCCAAATCTGTCACATCAGTCCTGACGAAATCTAATTTCAACATTAGAACATCACCACTAAAATTCAGTTTTAAGTTAAATCAGTCTTCAAAGCAAATGTGCTTTACCACATTATTTTCTCAAAGATAAATCAGCGCAGTGTGATATGAGTTGATTTGTGTGGTTTTCCCCACCCAAAACCTTCCAATTGAATTTAAATTTCATAAACAGACGCAACAAGAAATGAGATGATTGTGGTGCATTAAACGCAGCTCTACTAAAAGTCTGAGCTATACGAATCAACACCGATTATTAATTTAATAATTTTGGTACATAAACTAAGTGTTAGGTATGGCTCAGCTGAATAAAAATTGTGTGTTTAGTCATAACTGTTATTAAGTGAATATTAAATACAGCTGGAGACGGTATGAAAATAGTCATTTCTACACCACCTGCCATATCAATGCAATTTATATATATAGTAGAAGCAATAAAAGTTTGATTACCAGGCGATTAAATCAGATGTTATTTCTGCTGAGATGTTTGACTACCTGCTAACCCCACAGCTAACCCAGATGATGCAGACAGCATGCAGCTCTAATATAGTCCAGTCTGAACAATCTTTATAAATCAAGAAGCATTTGAAGCAAGAAGCTGTCTTATTATAACACTCTTTTAAGAAAAGTAATCACCTTACCCTAACTCACTCTAAACATTCAGAATGAGCAGTGTGAAAGGAAGATAGCCTCAAAGATATTTACCATCAGCTGACAGTGACCAGTTTTGGGGGTATTTGCAAAATTTTCTTTAATAAAAGCAACAGTACAACACTATGACAATGCTCCACTACAATTTAAAATCCTGAACACAATTCATTAAAATGTGTGAGCATTATTTGGCTTTTTTATGAAGTAAAATATCAAAATTAAAAGTAACTATTCTACAGTAACTATTCTAATAGTGCACCTGCATAACTGTGCTGCATTTTCAAGAGCAGGCGTGAGCCATGTCATGAAGACATTATGCGGAGAAAGAGCTCTAAAGAGGTGGAGAGCGTTGCTGGAGAAGTACAGAGAAGGTCAGGAGGAATGCACTGAGTCTTTGTGCCTTTAGAAAAAGTATATCATAGAGTGGCAAAAGAGGAACTGTGGTACTGCATGAGAAAGTCAGAAGTGACAGAGAAGTATATGAGGGTGGTGCAGGACGGCAGTGAGACAATGTCGGGAGGCAGTGAGGGTAGAATCAAATCAGGGATTGGCTTCTTGTTTGCTAAAGATGTTTGATAGATTGAAAGATGAAATCAGGTATCGGTCTCTATAACTATGATGTTTGCAGATGGCATTCTGATCTGTAGTGAGATCAGGGAGCAAGTGGAAGAGACCCTGAATAGGTGGAGTTATGACCTGGAGAGAAGACGAGTGAAGGTCAGTACAAGCGAGACAGAATAATGTGTGTCAATGAGAGACAGAGGTGTAGCAGTGGAGATACAAGGAGCAAGGCCAACCATCCAACCCAATGGTGCACAAGAGATGCGAAGAAGACAGTGGAGATGGGTGGAGTGTGTGAAGACTAGTGTCATGGGTGATATGTAACAGAAGGATAGCAGCAAGAGTAAAAGGCAAGGTTCCCAAGATAGTAGTGGGAACTGCTATGAAGTTTGAAAACAGTGACACTGAGAAAAAGACAGGAGGCAGAGCTGATGTTAAAGATGGCAGAATTTAGCTCTGGACAAGATCAGAAGTGAGTACATCAGAGGGAGACAAATTTAGGGAGGAAAGGCTGAGATGGTTTGGACATATGCACAGGGGGGTTGTGGACAAGGGATGATGAATAGCAGGCAGAAGGAAAAGAAAGTGTTGCATTTTGCTGCTGTAGAACTCTTTTGAAATAATATATTAGATTTGTTCTCTTATGTGCTGATCTGGAAGTGCTCGATAGAGCTTTCACATCAAACCCACCATGGTAAGAGTTGATAGTCGTCCCTCATCTCTTTTCTGTGAAAGAAGGTGAGCGCTAAGCATTATTAAAAGTTACTTCACACAACACAATAACAACAATTACCTGTTGAGATAATAAAAGTTTAAGCGGAAGTTGGCTAAAAATAAGCAAAGGAATAGTTGACCTGGTTTTGCTAGCTGTTAGCATAGTTAGCTAACAGACATGCTTGTATTTATGCAGCTGGAGTTTGTAACTCCAGTCTCCTGCAGCAGGGTTTTATGTGAGCAGGCGCAATCTGTCAAGAGCTGCTCCTAGCATCTTGGAAATAAAACTTCAATGGTCTTTATCTGAATAATTATATTGGCTCGACCAATGCTACAAATACACAAATGACAGGTAGGAACAAAAGAAATTTCATTTTCCCTCTTAGACGTCAGTGTTCCATCAAAATTATTTTAAGTTTTTATTTTAAAAATAAAAATCATTTGAAACTGTTGCTTTACAGATTAACCTTATTTTATGAAATAGAAAGTACTTATATGTTGGTACCATACTGTATATACTATATGCTGTATATAAACAACTAACATGCTGTTTATTCCTCAAAGTAAAGCTAATGAATTGATGACTGGAATTTGGATTTTTTCCAGCAGTGGAAACTTGTCTGGTAGCCAAAATAAGTCTGTTGATGTTTCATTTGTGATGTCATGTACACAGTGCTTGAGACTTGGGTCTGGACTTGGAGGAGCTTGAAGATATAGTCCTCCATACTGGATGTTATACTGGTTGTAAGTAAACATGTACTCCCTGACTGCTTGGCAGTGGCTTGTGGAGGTTGCTAGCTGTCATTGGGTTAAATTTGTTGCACTGTCATGCCTCCAAAATGCCAGAAAAGCATTTTGGGGTTAGTGAGGCAAGCGTGGTGGCCTGTTAGTGACCAAAGAAAGCACAAGGAGGTTTTAGCTAAAGCACCATCTAGAGCAGCAACGTACACCAACCACTTGCCAACCAGTCTGGGAATGCACATTTTCCCCTTGCAACTGGTGACTGTATCACATCCAAGATGGTCGACAACTCTTGAAAAATATGCATATGCTGTCATGAGAGAAACCTCTGTTGGATATCGAGACTCCGACTTGCCTCGTTTTGTGAAATGCAGTTCTAGATAGATGGTGATGACAAAAAGCTTGGTGTAATACTTCACACTGGGACTTAACAAACAGATGGCTACACTCATGTTTTACGTGCCGACTGTGGTGGCTGTATGCAAAAAAATACATAAACATAAGGCACTCCTACCCACACATATAGAGCTCAGTTGCATAGTATTTAAGGTAATCATGACACCAACAGTATCGTTAACATTTTGGACACGCACCAAAAAAAGGATGCCTCCACACGCTAATCTTCCAATACCTAAATTGGAAACGGGTCAAACTTCACAAACACACTTGGACACATCCACAGTTTGTTTTCATGTGTGAGGGTAAAGAAGTGTGTATGAGTGCTTTGAGGCAGCAAAGCTGATTGTATTTCCTCTCCAGCAGCTGATACTGTAGCTGCTGTGACCAGCTGCAGCTGTCACTATGTGTCACATGCACCCACACACACATGCACTCACGCCAAACTCACAGCACACAACCCACCCCACCTGCACGTAACCTTTAACTTGAATGCATACGTGACAGCGGAGTCTTCATGAATAACCTGGATGACTGAATAAGCACAAAAAGCTCCTGTCTCAGGGGTTAGTTTAAAAGGATAAAGGGGCAGCACAGTGAAAATCACATTTCCTCAATGTCATTTTACTGGACAGCCTGAGAGGATTTGGAGGAAGCATTTTCCTTAAATATTCCACAGTTGTGGAAATTTCTTGTATAATATTTTAGACATGCTTGGTCAACAGCATGTAACTGAGTTGTATTTTCCACTGGCTACTTGAAAAGCATCATTGTTTCAGTGAGTGCTAAAGCTAAGACAAAGCTAGGAAGGACCGGATTAGCAGTGTTTTATTTATTTCATCTAAGGAATAAATACAGTGACATTAAAATATACCCAGATTTCCCCGTAACCTGTAACTGAGAAAATAACTGCATGCTAACGGCACATCATCATCATCATATATATATATATATTTTCTTTCTTTGTTTCTTTCTTACTTACTGTAGCCTCATGTTTTGGTGCTTTATTGTAGGGTCCATATGTATCAACTGGATATAATTCATGATCTCCTCTTTCCCATGTCACTGACAAAAAAGTTCCTTTAAAAAACAGAAAATGAGGAGCAATTTTCAGTCAGTACGTTGTTTGTTTTTTTTGTTTAAGTTTCTGTATGTGGTTAAAAAGTGCGATTTCAAAAGTACAGAGAAAACTTTTTATAAAATTTTACACTACAACTCTTTTTTATGGTGTAATGTAAGATTTATCAAGTCCGTTTCAGTAAGTTCAGTTATCATCAAAAGGCACACTTCAGTTATTCTACCTGTTTTATTTCCCATAACTTAATGAACTTGAACCCCAATGCAAAAAACAACACCCACCTGAAAGGTAATCCAAATTTCAACAGTACATTAAGAAGATTCTGTGGATGTTTCGAGCTTTACATTGCAAAAAATACTCATTTTCACATACTGTAAACATACTGTACACTGAGACAGATACATGTAGGTGATATTTACAGTAACTGACATTGTTCAAGAGTATTTTTAAAAAAATCACATATCAAATAATTATTTGTGCACATAAAAGATGAACAAGAGAGATCCTTTTCAGTCTGACTTGCTCTGCTTCGTATTTGGACAAATTTATTATCATCACTTTGAATTTAGGAAATGGCGAAAGAAAGACTAATCCAAACAATTTTTTTGTTTCTGCAAAGCTTCTGCTGAGAGCGATGTATAAAGTAAGCACTTAAAATATGTGTAACCTGATTGGTATGTTTTTACAGGGAGTGTAACAGACAATGTTATTGAACCAGATCCAACTACATAAAAAAAGATCTCCCAGCTCTTGTGACAGAGTGCACCGTTCGTACTTATAACAGAGCAAAAGCAGACAGGATAAAAGGAAAGCGTGGGTTCATGGTGTTGTTGGTGGAGGGACAAAGTGGGGGATATAGTTTAAGGGAATACGTGATGAAAGGAAGCCAACACATGGGGAGGACACTCATGACAGTCACAAGTTTGGGTCTCACATGTTTATCTGATACACAGTTATACACCACCAAATAACTACAGACCAGTTGTGAGTTTTGTTAGAAGGAATGAAGAAAACAGGCAAACTGCGAGCCTTAAAATATACTCCCTGTTTCAAATAAAACCTTGGGCCACTGGGCAAACATGTAGTTTTTTATCTCAGTCCTGTTGGGTTCTGGTTCATGGAGAGTTTATCTTGATATTGTACATAAACTTTGGTTTCTGAGAAAAAAAAGGTTTATTTTAACTGCAAATATTATTTAAATTTCACATTTAATCCTTTGTGGAACAATGTAAGAAACCACCGTTTTTGACTTAAAAGGCTCCATTACTGTGGCAGCTTTTCAAGACAGGTAGTCCTCATCTGGTATTTTGATGGTATTTTGCAAGAACACATTATGTTCTGTCAAAACACTTTTACTTATTCTAAAATTCATTTTTACCCTTCAGCTGTATAAACCTGATTGAGTATTATCGTAACCCTGGCAAGTGGGCGGGCAAGGTAGACACTCAAGTTTGTGATGGAGATAACTTGAGAACGAGGCGACGCAGGATATTCAAATTGATAAAAATCTCGAACGAGTCAGAATCTCAGAGACCTTGACCTCAAGGTCAGAAGTTTTCAGGAAATCTTGTGAATGAGATAACAAGGCAATGTAGGATTTTGACATTGATTCTAAAATAAATATTAGCTTTGGGAGGTGTAGAAGTACATCTACTGATGCGAATCTTATTCATCCCACCTGATAACTCAGGGGCTGTTAATGATCAACAGTAGTTGAAAGTCTTTAATGTTCTGACTCTGTCCTCTTTCTGCTCAACATTCTCAAATGTTACTGCACCTACAGAGCATTCAGTGCTCTCCAGTACATTCTAATGCTGCTGTGCTGCACTCTTATTATGAGGACAATGATCTTTTTGACAATGTGCAGTGATTTGAAGCAGCAACCTCGCCGACGGCTCACTCCTCTTCTGTTTTTAAGCAACAGGTAATCTCATGACTTTAGTTGAGGAGCATTTTGGAATGAAGTAGCATGCATGATATTTTAGTACTCTTAAAACATGTTTTATTTGGTACCAATATCATCCCTGTAGTAATTCCAATTTCAGGAAGTTGATAATGTTTGATGTCACTTTGTGAGTTTTTTTTCAAGGCGCTGCTTTGCAAACTTTTCCTGTGTTTAAAGCTCGTGAACCAAAAAACTGCCCTTTTTCGTTAAATAAGCTACAGCATGATGCCTTCATGATCGAGACAAACTTCATACCTGTTTGAAAGGAGACACTGCTGAATATAGTTTGCCCATGTAGCTAGCTGCCTTCTTGATTCACGCCATTATGAGGAAAAATCGGACCCTGGATCATAAATAAAAACGTTGACAACGTGGCCTTGTAAAAGACCAAAAGGTTGAGTTACTCAACTCTCAAACACAAACATTATTAACTTCAACAAATCGGTGCTTACTGCACACACAATGGGAATCCTAATGCTCTAATTGGTCAAGCTATTGAACTCAGACTGTCCTTAGAGCTCCAGGTGGCAGAACGGTTTGCCTGCCCGTTGGTCAAGGATCCTGGAGCTACATCTAAAACTTGCTCAGAGCAAGAAGATGGAGGAGCCAGATTCAGTGAGCTGCCTTGAATTGAACTCTCCACACTGCCCTTCCATCTAGAATGCCGAATGTCAAGCTCTGTAACATCAGTAAGAGCTGAGTTCCCATTCAGCCTTTGTGGGGGATAACCGCTGTTCTCGCTGCATAGTCCCAATAGTCTCCTTATGCTCCACTGTCTTCCCTTACTCCTCAAATGGAGTATCTCCTGGAAGGCGTGCCTGAAATCAGGGCTGCGACAGTAGATGAGAGGATTGAAGGCTGAGTTGGAATATCCAAGCCAATTGAGGAGTCTAAAGGGTACCTCAATGTTTTTCACGCTGAGTATGTTTCTGAGGATGTTGAGGATGAAGAATGGTAGCCAACACAGTGTGAAAGTTCCCATGATGATACCCAGAGTTTTTACAGCTTTATGCTCTTTAAGAGAAAACCTAAGACGCTTTGTGGCGGAATGTTTTCCGTCCCCTTTGTCTGTTCTCAATCTGCTCTCTTTCCCCTTTTCTTCTTTACCAGTGTCCATACTTGGGTTCTGCATATTTAGACTATCGTCTCCTGCTTCTTCTCCCACCTCAGTTCCTGTCCTGCTTTGATTTAATGCAGGGCTATCATCAGGATAAGCAAACTGTGAAGCGCAATGCAAGTTATACATATGTCTTTCCCTTCCTCGGATCTTCTCCAGCTGTTTCTGAGCCTCCTGGAACACGCGGGTGTACAGGAAAATCATCACCACCAGTGGCAGGTAGAATGATACAATTGAAGAAGTCACTGCATATGCCGTGTTCGTGTTGAACTCACAGCAGTTTTCATCTTTCAAACATAAGAGAGCTATGTCATCATGTGACACTGACATCTTCAGATGTATGGGTAGGAAGGAGATGAGGGAGGCCACCACCCAAACTGCGAGCACCACTGCAACAGCTCGACCCCTGGTTATCAGCAGGAGACAAAAGAGTGTGCAGAGAAGTGAAGAACGTTGCAAACAGTAGACGTGAGTGACAACACAGAGATATTTTCTTAGTTAAATATTATGTTGGTTGTCCAAAAATGTAAAAGAGCTCTAAAAGCAACATAATAGCCACGACTACATTCTAAATTAACTACAGCTAAGCCCAGGATCTAGCTCAGGCAGGTAACATGAGCTGCACTGCGTCATGCAGAGATAACATGCCTCATTCTTCTCATTCTCCCCATGTCATATGCCAAATACACTCTTTTTCAGTTTGGTGGTCTACTTAAGCTTCCTTTTAAATTTTATATGTAACGTATTTGTGGGTAATTATGAGTTTGGGGTCTGGTTAATTATATTCTGCTAAATATGTCCTTCTGATTCATTCAGATTTAAAATGGCTAATCACTAAGATAATGGCTTTTCTTCTTTACTGTTACCTACATTATACATGTATTAATTTGATGAATTTGAGTCAGATATAATAATGGTAAAAAAAGAAAAAAGAAGTACAGCATCTATAATTTCTAAGGTTTTACATATCAGGATTAATTTTTTTAAACACTGTCTAGTCTTTATCATCATGTCTTATAACGAGGTAACTATAACTTGAGATGAACAACAACACATGACATGTTGCACTGTGTCATTATTTCTGCAATAAAAACAAAGCTAATATGTGGAAGCAGTGTGTAAAAAAAACATGAATTATTCGCTTGCACAACAACCTTGAGCAGCAATGACTTGAAATAGTCTTTCTCTGTGTGTCTTTATCAGTCTCTCACATCATTGTGGGGGAATTATGACTCATTCTTCTTTACAGAGGTGTTTCCGTTCATCAGTGTGAGCAGGTTTTCATTTACTCAAAGCTCTCTTAAGGTCACACAGAATTTCAATCAGCTGGAAGTCTGGACAGTAACTGGATCTGACTGAGTTAGAACATCTTTTCTTTTTGAGTCATTGAAGATTGCCTGCTGTGCTTGTGATCATTGTCGTGTTGCATGATCGAATTTGACCTAAAATACTTTTGGTACACAGAGTTCATGATCGACTCACTGACTCCAAGGCGCAAAAAGTGGGCTTGAGATTTTGCACGAGGTGCTTGTGTTAATATGCTGTGTTTGGCTTTCACCAAATGTGGCGCTGCACAATATAGCCAAAAATCTCCACTTTGGTTTCATGTGTCCAAAGGACTTTGTTCCAGAAGTCTTGTGGTTTGTTCAAAAGCAACTTTGCAAACCGAAGCTGTGCTGCTATGCTCTTTTTCAAGAGAAGAGGCTTTCTCCTGGCAACTCGGCCAAAACAAGCCATGCTTGTTCAGTCTTTTTTTAATTGTACCATCACGAACTTCAACATTTAACATGCTAACTGAGGCCTGCAGAGTCTGAGATGTAGCTCTTGGGTATTTTGCAGTTTCTTTGAGTACTGCACGGTCCAACAGGAGGAATTTGCTGAGAAGTCATTGGAAGATTAGCAGCTGTCTCGAATGTTTTTCACTCGTGAATCCTTTTTCTCAGTTTAGAATGATGGATTTCAAATTGTTTAAAAATGGCCTTATAACCCCGTCCATAAAATCACTGCTGATGTTTTTTCTTCTTCGCATTCTGTTAACACACACCTGAATGTTCCTGACCAGCAAACTGCCAAAACATCTGCTTTTATTGAGGCGATTACACATTTATTGAAGTGCATTTGATTAGCAGCACCTGGCTGCTACCTACCCTGTTAATCCCAACGGAAGCAGTAAGGAAGTATTCAGTTTTTCACACACTGCTTCTGCGATCAAGCATTAATTTTGTATAATAAACAGTCACATAGTGTAATATGTCCAATGTATTGTTGTTCATTTAAAGTTTTATTTAACTGATTTTAAGACCTGCTAACGATTATTTTAATGTTACTATATCCATATTTTACCACGACTGTATTTGAGAATCAGAATATCTTCATTGTCATTGTAACAAATAGAATAAAATCAAGTCTCATATTTTCCAGTATGTTGCAACTCTGGTTGTACCGCAACACGTGTCAACAGTGTTTGCCTTTAACAGGAGACAGAAAGCACCTGATGTGACATCACTGGTTGGGTTTAACAAAGTGTGCAACATCTTGGAAAGTTTGAAAATGTAGCGATATTTGCATTAGCAGCTTGATCTAACCTCATACTACATACTAGTCAAGCTCCATCTCTTTTGTACCTGGTGAGCAGCGTTGGGTAGCGGAGCGGCGAGGTGATGGCAAGGTAGCGGTCCAGTGCGATCACACAAAGCGTTTCGATGCTGGCAGTCACGCACAGCACATCGGTCGCTGTCCAGAAATCACACATGAAATTTCCGAACTGCCAGACTCCCCGCAGGATGGAGATAGAGCCAAAGGGGACCACAACCACACCCATGATGAGGTCAGCAACAGCCAGTGAGGCAATGAAAAGATTGGTGACAGTCTGGAGCCGCTTAAACCGCAGGATGGCGGTAATCACCAACACGTTTCCTGTGTAGAAGAAAGCAAACTGTATTCGAAACTATAAACTGGATCAATTGTAAAAGCGCATTTCAAATACAAGCCGTCGTCTGATTGAACCGAAAGAGTCACAGCTTACCGAAAACTATAGCCAGGACCAGAATGGCCATAGCAACACCAAGCAGCACGAGTTCTGCATCACTGTACTCTGGTCTAGAAGAATTGAAGACCTGGGTGAAGTTACTGTGCTGTGAATGGTTAGTCTGTGCTAACACAGTACTCACACCTCCCATGATCTACAGTGAAAACACACAAAAACACAGCTTTGGTCACGAAAGATAAAGACACATAAACTGGTTGTTTTGCATGCATGATCAATTTAGTAGGGAAGACGTTTAAAAGGTATACAAGAGATTGGACAGCTTGTATTTGTTCCTTGGTATGCCTCTGTGTTTGTCATGCTTTTAGCAGTTTGTGCAGCAGCTTATGGGATTTGTATGTTTTTTTTGGTGTAGCCTCAGTCCACAGGATCAGCATTTGGCTGCAACTAGTCCACACACACTTCCTAGTGGGGTGTTATCTGCTCGGGCTCCGATGCTTTTTGAATAAGATTACATGTGACCCTTTGATCTGTTTGGCCTTCTTTAACAAATAAGGGTATTCCTTTCTTTTTTTTTACACCATTAATGCCATTAAAACAAAAAAGCAAATGCCAGTGCTGGTAAAAGCAAGAGGATGGCTCCTGCAACACATGTAAATGAAGACACTAAATGCCCTTGTTATATAATAGTGCTTACATAAGTAAATGCACAGACAGATGATTGTGCTCCTAAAGTGCCATTAACACACACAGGAGTATATTTAAGCTGTTTGTATTCCAACAGATCATTCTTTCTGCCAGGATGATCAAAGAATGAAAAGATATCAAACTTTGAGCAGTATTTGATGAAAAATAGCTTTCACAGAAGTCTGTGGATGAGAGCTAGCCTGCTTTTTATCTTATCGAAACATACATACTGTGTATATGTGTTCACTGAGGAAGTTATATGTTCCTCTATATTGTCATGATTTAAACGTATCCTCCCCAGTGACAACATACGTCCTGTGATATAATGTCATGTATCAGCATCCAACATGTAGATTATTAGTTTTCTTTTTTTTTTAAAAACTGATACTTAATACTGCAGTGACAGAAAACAGGAGAAAAGTGAGCAGCAAACTTTTACAGGAAGTAAATGTCCTTGTCCAAACCACTAGGCCATCAGGACTTCCTCTACACACTAATCTTAGTGCCATGGTACAGAGTGTACACTTTCGATTCAGGGTGTTACTAAGCACAAATAACTGATGCTGAGGAAGAGCAAGGCTTGTGAAATACTATATAGGCTCCAGGAGCCCGTATACTGGTGTTTGCAAAGGAGCAGTGCACGGCAGAGCAACAACAGGCAGCTTAAATAAATAATCCCCACATTGCTCTGATGCTTTATAGATATATTCCAGTGATACATTAAAAAATACATAACAATAAAGTTTTGGCATCAGTTGCATTTATTCCTCAATGTTATTTCTAGTCATGTTCCAGCATAAATAGTAATAATAAAAACAAGACTGAATATAAATGCTCTTCCACAGCAGGCATCTAACTGACAGCAGACATATGGCGATCCTTGTTTGCGCTTCTGATGTAGATCCCTGTCGGGGGATGGTACGTTGTATAAGTCATCCTGTCTGGACAGTCCATGAGTAGTAGACAGATACTAAATGTCTGCTACTTATGGACTATTTGCCCTTCACAGGTGGCATTTGACTTATTTTTGCTTTTCTCCAATATGTGCAATTAAGAGAAGAACACATCTATGTCTTAATGCTAATCGTAAGGCTGTTTGGCCAACTGGATCTTCTGTGTGCATTTGCACTTAGATGCATGTGAATGTTGCCTTTATTCCAATGCAGTCCAAACACTCACAACATATGTTAATTGGCAGCAGTAAAGAGGTGCATTGATTCACGAGTGTTTACCCAGTTCTCCCAGGGTCAATGAGCAAAGTGTTGAATTTTGGGATGCTTTTTAAATGTCGGGCGATTGTTGTTTTTATGACAGTCATCCTGTAAGTGGCATAATCGTCTAAACATGAAAGTTAAACGGTGTCATTACTTTGCAAGTGCGAGGCACCGCACATTAATTTGGAGAGCAGGTATGCTGTCAATCATGCCGTCTGCGTCCACAGCAGCGTGTTTGTGCGAACATTCGTCATTGCTTGGAAAACGTCCCTAAGTCAGCACATTAACATTTTAGTAAATACAAACTAAAAGTGCAGAGAAAATGATGGATCTGCTGGAAAGGTAAGTGCAGACTCCTTTTAAAAATAGCATTTTCATTAATTGTGCTTTGAAATGAGTTCTGTTAGACAATAATGTGTGTGATTGTGCACTACACACACAAAAATCAGACTTTCATCTACTTGTTAATTCATTTATGCTTACATGATGTGACAGTCGCTGTTGTTTTTCTCACAACACCAGTCACTTACCCTGTTACTTTTTGCCCTAATGACCCCTGCACTACCCCTGCAGAGGGGATCAGTACTGCAGGAGGTGGTTGCACACATTAATACCAAGTCAAACTTGGAAAACTTACTCCAATCGCCTCCCTAACCAAAACTGTTTAAACAGCTGAGACCGAATCAATCACAAAAGATTTACTGAGACGTAAAAGTCCCAATATTTAGGCTGAGGGAGCATGGCGATAGTAAGTACACTGAGCACTTAACACACAAAAGCTCTTGCACAAATATAAGCATGAAGCTGCAAGTGTGTGGAAAATACACAGAGAGAGAGAACACCCAGCTTTTGTTGTCATCGGTAAAATAAAGAGATGGCGGTAGAGCAAACAGTGAAAATGACACATGCTTTACTAGGAAAAGATAAACAAGTTTCTGTCCTGATACCATAATAACAGGAAGAAAAGGAAGAAAATCAATGATATCTGTAGCTTTTGTCAGACAATTTAAACGATTATATGATAGGTAATCTTCAAATCTCCCGTGATGTCAGAGTTAGGTGCACATGTTTTAAACAATCTCATCGTCAAATAGTCTTGTAAAACTAGAAAAACTTGAAGATTCTTTATCTGCACTGATCCCTTAGCATTTACTTTAAATCTATATTAATTTCACTGCTTTGATAAGTCCAAATAAATCACAGAGAGTGGTGCTTCCACCCGTGACAAATAGGTTGCCTGCAAGATTTGCACTTTGTAAAACAGACTTTTATTTTCAGGTGTTCTTTAATTGTTACCTCCAGACTTTGTCCTCTTCTTCAGTCCAGTGATTTCATACTCCAGAAGCTTTTAAATCCACCACACAAAGATTCATAATAAAGTGTCTGCCAGCAGCTTCCTCTTCATTTTTTGCTGAGTTGTTAATTTCAGGAGTTAGTGTGCGACTGACATGCACAGACAAACACACACGCGCGTGCTCTGTCTCGCTCCCTGTTTCTGTTCCCACACATGTATAAACACTTTCAGGTCTCAAGCACACTTGCCCCTTTGAAGCAGCTGAGTCTGTCAGCCTTTTTATAAGCAACCCACGATGACATCACAGCAGGATAGTAGCCTATCAGAGGACAAGGAATGGCTTTTGCTATATATCATATGTCTGCAGTGCACTGACAGCCGGACAGCACCCAGTGCTCTCTGGGAAACCTTAGGGTTTTAACATTTATTTATTCAGGGCAGCTTTTCTGAGCTTCTTTTCAGCACCACCCTCCTCACATTCTCACATAGGGGGTGCCAAACAAAACCACAGACTTCTGTATTTGGCTGCTGTTTAGCTGTACTTCTGCACCACAGCAGTGCAAAACATAACAGCAACACTATTCAAACTGAATATGGCATTATACTGTATTCCCATAACCTGCGCATTCAGTATCAGTATGAGGATATAATAAGAATCACTTTGCATGCTCAGACAGAAAGTCAAGGCTAAACATCCATTCACCAGTCTCTTGTTGCATTAAACCTTAAATTAGATTGTTTCTTTGTTCCAAACTGCAGGGCTGATTTTAATATTTATAATTTTATATTAAAATGTTTAATACAATGTGGACTACATGAAGTCTCATTAAGACAAACTTAGAGGCAGTGGATGAGGGAAACAAAGTGTTTTATTGTGTAATTTTGAATTTTCTAAAAGACATCAATTCATGAGTTATTTCCTTGATTTCTCTACCACTACACAGTCCTGTGAAAAACTAAGTGCACATCTTGATTCAGTAGCTGGTAGAATGACTTTATCCATCTTTCATATGCTTGTGGGGGACTTTTGGCACACTCTTCATTGCAGTGTTGGTTCAGTTCATTGAGCTTTCGTTTACACCACAAGGTCCCCAGATGATGTGGCTGCAAAATATCATTATCTCTCCACCACCATTGTTCGAGGTGCAGAAATACTGGGTTTGGTTTTGCCAAATGGGGTGCTGTGAAATATAGCCAAAGATCTTCGCTTTGGTAGGAGCTAAGGACACTTTAACCATGCTGCTATGTTCTTTTTAGAGACAGGTTGCTTTCTCCTGGCTTCCCTTCCAATGAATCCAGGTTTGTTACATCTTTTTCTAATTGTGTTTTAACTTTTAACATGCTTCCTGAGGCCTGTGAGGTTTGAAATGTAGCGCTCGTTTTGTTGTTGTTGTTTTTATTTCCCTGAACATTGCATGGTCCCAGCCAATTCACCTTGAGGGGATGTATGTAGGGATGGCAGTTGTGTGTTACCACACACTGAACGCTCCAGACCATCAAACTGCCAAAATCTCAGTGTTTATAGAGGTGCTCACACTTGTTGATGATCAATGAATCAAAGAGATTTCATTAGCAGCACTTGGCTGCCACTTACCAACTTAATTCATAAGGAAGCACTGAGGGTGTACTTACTTTTTCACTGCGCTGCATACATTTGAACTGTATTCATAATGAAAATGAGCCACAATAGAACATGAACTTTGCTGCTTCACATTTGTGCATCAGTGTTCCTCATTTCACTGATCCATCACAGCACAGACAAGTCACCACTGGTCACATATAAACAAAACACTGCGATTACTCTTTTGCCCAAAAACAATTTTTTTTTTAAGCGTTCAAGGTAAGTCTCCATAAGTGTGCAAAGCTGTTAATGTGATCTGTGATCTCTAGTAATCATAAATACAGTGTACATACAAAATAAAAAACCAACCCAGTGCTCAAGATCGTGAATGCCTCTGATGCAACCAGTGGTAGTGTCAGTAATCATACCCAACCAAATGTTAGGCCACTAAAATGTTTTGGAAAGAGGCTACCTCGTAGAGAGCCACCCAACTGAGTTATGACATTAAGTCAAATCCTGCACCTTCCATCATGCCACCTTGTGTGCTTACTACGTTAAGACTCTTAATGTGTTCCAGTTGAAGTTGGAAGTCAGAACTGATCATTCAAAATTTTCCTCTGCATGAATTGCTCTACCTTGCCGAGAAGCAATCAAAAACCAATTTTTTCTTGCTTATCTGACTTTACCACTGGAACACCCTCAACTTAGCAGTGACGTCACTGCCAAGTTCCGACATCTGACTTCCGAGGTAAACGGATCTGGTGGCATCTGGCATTAACCAAAATGGGTAGAATGAACTCCACTGAAGCTGCAAATGAAGGTCTTCTGTCTTCCCTGAACCTTATATCTCAAGTAGGTGATGCGTGCAACAGGAAGCACCTAAAGGTTCCCACACACCACAGAATGTACCCAGCAAGGCTTTCATGTAGAGAATTTCTCATACTTGATCACCACAAGCCGTCATTTTATATGCTCATGATGACCTACATGTCGTGAACAATAGACTCCCACATGCGCGGCGCATTGAAACCACTCAGATGTGAACCAGTTAGATACTGTAAAGATGCTTCAGCAGGCTGATTGAGCATCAGCGTCTCAAAATTGCAAAGTGGCTTATCTCTGTCTGATAATATATATACATATTGCTTCTCCAAAGCAATTATATCATCTAAAAATATACACCACTGATGGGTTATGTTTTGTTATGTTATTAGGGAAATACTTTTTTTGTCAGCCCATTCAGACTTTTAGCTGTATATGAAAAGCAAGAAACACGCTGCTGTGAGAGCATCACACGAGCACTCGCTTCTTCCCTTTATTATGGCCTCTTTTGGAGCATGTCTGTCAGAGAGCCCAGAGCAACATCCTCTTGTCCAAACGTACTGGTAGAAGATAAGGCTGAACATTTGAGCAGCATGATTGAAATTCAGGATCTTAGTCAGTTATACTCCGACCACCCTACGGTCTGTACTGCAGAAGACAACAATCACCCCGAGCGTGCAAATGAAAGCTCTCATAAAGCTGAGCCTGCACTCAGTTCACTGAGGAAACCACAGCTGGCACCAGTGTTCGTCTGACATACACATAAAAAGTCTAATATTTCTATTGTTATGTTTGTGTTTTCTGCTCTTTAATGTTTCCTCTTGTGGGTAAAGAGACATAGAACAGAGAGTATGGCCACTTCCTCTTGTCACATTCCTCTTGGCGCCTCTTCCGTCTGCGCCCTATCTTTTCCTCTATCTCTTCACACGTTCTCTCCTCGTCACACTTTCAAAAAGTACCCATCCAGAGCTGCTCCCTCATTCACGTCACTCTTTTGTTGTTACTTTTTGTCAGTTTCTTCTTTCATCTGTCCTCAGCAACACATCATGTTTGGACACTTGAGCTCACCAGTTCTTTCAACCAAGTCCCATTTAATGAAAGAACGTTAGGACACAGTACATTGACATTTTAAAAAAAGTCTTATGTTGCTGAGTGTTGCCAGTAAACTTGATTGTAAAATGTTTAAATTAATGCGGTAACCATGTGCCGTCACTCTAATGATATTTTTAGCTGCAATGTTTTTATTTCTTTCCAAATACTTCCAGCAGTTCCTCATTGTGTTAATATAATATATGATACAGTGATGTCTGGTTATGTGTTCCTACGTTACTTTCTGTTATCTGTGCAATTATCAGTTTGGTAATATATAGAGTTCACACTGCCTTTCCAACATTTCACACTATTGAAAACACACGAGTCCTTTTGGAGGGGTTTCTAAAATGTCGCTGCACCAGTTGATTCTTTGTCTGCTTGTCAAAGTGACTGAAATTCTGTCCTCACAAGCACTTAAATTAGATTTTATTTGAACAAATTATAACAGCAATCGACTGATGAGGAGCAAATCTTTGTAAGGAAACTGTGGAGAAAATGTTTTTGTAGCGGTGGGCAGTGGGGTTAACGCTGCTTGTCGGTTTTAGAAGCAGCTTCTTGGTACAGTCTTTTTTTCTGTGGGGTTTGCTTGTTCTGTCTGTGGTTGCATGGGTTTCTTATCAAGGCTAATAGGTTAACCGTTAATGATAAATTGACTGCAGTTGTGAATTTGGGAGTATGCTGTTGTCTGTCTCTCTGTTCCCCCTGGCAACCTGTGCAGCTGTGATCTGTATGCTCGCTGGCTATCAGATGTTGGATAAATAGTTAAGAAAATGGATGACTTCTGTTGTGATTTGATAAATAAACATGTCTCTTTTATTGAGTTTCTTCTTCTTCTAATGTTTTCTATTACTTTCTGCCGAAACAAATATCCATCATCACTGAGAAGTTTCATCAGAAATTTACATGAAGTCAAACTCTGTACTGAGTTCACTCCCCAAGTTCTGGGAACAATTATATTGTCAATGATGACTGTCCTTAAAGTTTCACACAAAAGAGCAGTTGCTGAATCTGATCTGCAGACGGTTGTTTTCTGAATTACAGCAAATATTTTCCAGAACCTCAGAGACCAGATACATGATCTCAAAAGTTGTAGCTTGAACTACAGTTACTGCAGGAAAATATCTCACACATACTGTGCGCAAATATGCATGTGTTTCAGTCTATTACAAGAGTAATTAAGTCAAGTTGAAACACATTTTCAACCTCTTCTGGATTTCTGGTATGGCCCCTTTGTTTTTCTAAGAAATGCTTGCTCTGAACAGTATATCCTGTACATAATGTTCACTGGTATTACTGAAACCATGCTGCTACCACATCCTACCACATGTTCAATTTTTGACAATGTCATGCGCCGCGGCGCGCGTGCACAAAAGGATCCAAACGCAGACTCAAGCGCTAGCAGAAAAGGACACTTTATTATAATAACAAAAGGCGACCCGGGAAAACCAAAGGAGCAAAACGAGGAACTAAAAAACCCGGGGAAACAATGATGCGAGGAAGCCGGAATCGGGACCGTGGGAGGCTTCAACAGAAAGGGGAGAAGATTACTAGGGAGCCGGGAAGCGGAGGAAACACATCAAAACTGAGTTAGACCAGTTGGCTTATGATTAGAGCGGGACCGTAGGAGCTGGAGAGGAACGTGCATGAGAGGGAAATCCGTGGAGGTAGTGGTTGGGCCAGATGATGCACCGGGTGATCCAATTGAGCAGGACAGGCAGGTGGCAAACGCTGAACGGCGGATCGAAACCTAGACACAAGTAGGCAGATTT